GTATTTTACTAGGCTTTGGCTTTGCGGTCCACTGCTTAGGGCATAGCATAGGGCTTTAGGAACAAGGGTTCCTAAATCCTATTGGCTTTCGGGTTTAGGGCTTTCGGGCTTTCCTTGACCCACACTTACTGCAACCAAAGTTTCGAGATTATGCCCTGGCTTGGCAGCATGCAGTCCTTGGGCTCAGTGTGAATTGGATAGCCTGGCAGATGACTTCAACGAGAGCTTGGATTATGTCATGTTGTGATATTTTGTTATGCGATTATATTCGTGCATGGTTATGTTGGTATCCTGCCTAGCTGCCTGCTTGACCTTCGGCCCTCGGGCGTTCAGCCAGAATTTGCTTCCCTTAGGGGCAAGATCGCCGAAAATTCGGATCAGGTATTACCAAACCCCATTAACCTCTAATATAGGGGTCGGAATCATTACTAATATTATTCTCAGGGTCACTTTATTGTTATATTAGAATAGCCCCCAAAAATCTATTCTAATTGTTTAGGCCCCTATATTAAGGATCACTTCGCACACAAGATCACCCAAGCCAAGGCGCAAGATCGCCCCAGGGTTGAGGGTTTAGAGTTTAGGGTTTAGGGTTTAGGGCTTAGAGCTTAGGGCTTAGGGCTTAGGGTCCAGGATCGCGGGCCATGCTCCGAGGGTCTCGAGAAGAAAGGAAAGTCAAACGTCAGCGCCTTGGCGAGTTTGATGGCCTTACTGCCTGCCGTCAATGGACGCTCTGTGGTCTGGATGGTTCCGAAGTGCAGCTTCCTCTTGAAAACAACATGACCGTGGAAGATTTGCGCAAGAGCGTCGCAGAAGGGATCGGCTTGCGGCCAGGTGGCATGCTTGTCTTCGTGGCTGGCGGAGGATTCCAAGCCGCTGGCGGAGCAAGTTCAGAGCGATGTCATCACGTATGTGGTTCAACAGGTTGCCCTTGCCATGTTTGATTATATGTTGTTTGTTTTTAAACTGTTGGGCGCAAGAGGATCTTACTTTCGTTTCTTTATCAGAGGGTTTAGGGCCAGCCTAGGTTGGTGCAGGGCACGCAGCAGCGGCGTTTCTGCGAGCCAGTGACGGCCGACGCCTGAGCACGGTGGACGTAGACGCCAAGGACGCAATCTGTTCGTTGGAAATTTTCGGCGAGCGCAGTCTCGAGAATGTTGAACTGCCGAAGAACTTGCAACCCTTGAGATTCGGAGCCAGATTCAACCAGAGCTTGGAGAATGTGGCCTTGCCTGGCAGCCTGCAGTCCTTGAGATTCGGACCGGCTTTCAACCAGAGCTTAGAGAACGTGGTCTTGCCTGGCAGATTGCGGTCCTTGAGCTTCGGATATGATTTCAACCAGAGTTTAGAGAACGTGGCCTTGCCTGGCAGTTTGCAGTACTTGAGCTTCGAAACAGATTTCAACCAGAGTTTGGAGAATGTGGTTTTGCCTGACAGCCTGCAGTCCTTGAGCTTCGGAGCCAGATTCAACAGGAGTTTAGAGAACGTTGCCTTGCCTGGCAGCTTGCAGTACTTGAGCTTCGGAATAGATTTCAACCAGAGCTTGGAGAATGTGGCCCTGCCTGGCGGCTTGAAGTCCTTGAGCTTCGTATCTTCTTTCAACCAGAGTTTGGAGAATGTGGCCCTGCCTGGCAGCCTGCAGTCCTTGAGATTCGGACCGGCTTTCAACCAGAGCTTAGAGAACGTGGTCTTGCCTGGCAGATTGCGGTCCTTGAGCTTCGGATATGATTTCAACCAGAGTTTAGAGAACGTGGCCTTGCCTGGCAGTTTGCAGTACTTGAGCTTCGAAACAGATTTCAACCAGAGTTTGGAGAATGTGGTTTTTGCCTGACAGCCTGCAGTCCTTGAGCTTCGGAGCCAGATTCAACAGGAGTTTAGAGAACGTTGCCTTGCCTGGCAGCTTGCAGTACTTGAGCTTCGGAATAGATTTCAACCAGAGCTTGGAGAAGGTGGCCCTGCCTGGCGGCTTGAAGTCCTTGAGCTTCGGATTCAACGTCAACCAGAGCTTGGAGAATGTGGCCCTGCCTGGCAGCCTGAAGTCCTTGAGCTTCGGAAAAGCTTTCAACCAGAGATTGGAGAATGTGGCCTTGCCTGGCAGCCTGCAGTCCCTGAGCCTCGGATTCGAATTCAACCAGAGCTTAGAGAACGTTGCCTTGCCTGGCGGCTTGTAGTCCTTGTTCGTCGAACGTGCTTTCAACCAGAGTAGGGATTTTTTGGATTTGCCGAGGGGACTGGTGTGCCTCGGCTGCCTTGGTGGCTTTAGTAGTATGGATTTCGGCATTGTTGTGCACGAATTGGGCCAAACGAAGGGCAGCGAGTTCTGACGTCGACAACAAGTGCGAATCCTTGGCGGCTCTGGGGTCTTCTAAACCGGTGCTATACCCTCTACTCTTAGGGGTACGTGGGTTTAAGTTTTGGGTGCTACAATCCCTAAGAAACAGCAATTTTTTGCTAGGTCCAAGTTCAGTATAGTACTCTGCACCCACCACTTCCTCTCATCCAAAGCCTTTTGAGCTCGCATCTGACATGGCCAAAGCCCCAGGGCCTCTGAAAGGCCCTCATTATCAACCTTGCCTAAACCCTAAACCCAAAACCCTTAAACACTAAACTTCCATAAGGCTGTAACACCTATGACTACTACCCTGAAACCCTCAGTAAACCCTAAACCTTGGGATTTTCCCTAAGAGTCCTTAATGGGGATCATCAGGGATTATAGTGCCCCCTATTAAAACCCTTATTAAGGACTGTTCATCAGGGGGAATATCCCAACCTGAACCCTAAGCACCAATAAAAGTCCATCTGATCTCCGGTCGCAGCCTTGGCTCCCGAGGGCTCTTGTACTGGGTGAAAGAGAGGGTTTATGGTTTAGGGTTTAGGGTTTAGGGTGAAAAAGACGAGAGCATGGCCCGCCCGGCACAGTCGCGGCGCGAGTGTGCCGCCCGCCAGGCCGAAGTGGGCGCTGCCGTCCAGCTTCCGCTCATGAGCCTGAGCTCGGAGCGTGTTCTCCTGGTCACTGGCTACGTAGCTGACGTTGCTGCCGACGGGTCATGCAGTATCATTTTTACTGGTCATGGTGCACCCTTTCTCATTCGTGCTCGGGCGTTGTTCGTGCGACCGGCAGACCAAGCGGCCACGCACACATCCATGTTGCCATTGGGTTTCGGATCCAGTTCGAGACCTACCGGTTCGGCATTGTGTGATGGAGCTTGCGCGTCTCTTGCGCGGCGGTCCCAGTGGGCATGGACAAGCTTCCAGATGCAACTCGATGATTCCTGGAAGCAACTACACGTGACTTTCGAGAGTGACGAGTGCTGCATGTGCCTCCAGCCGCTGGCCCCTAACGATGCACCTGCGGCCAATCTGTTTCCGTGCAACCACATGTGCATGCACTGGAGCTGCTTCGAACACTTCCGGTCCAGCTCAGGAGCACCTTTCCAGTGTCCCATCTGTAGAGAGACCGCCATGTGGGCCCTCAACACGGGAGGCAGCCCGTGAGTCGGAGCCAAAGGCTTGCCCAGTTTTGGATCAACCCCTGAGAGAGCCACCTTGCTGTGCTGCATATGACACATTAGGTAAAGGAGCGATGCAGTCCCTTCACCAGCCTCCTTTTAGCTTGAACGCGCAGTGTTGAACCCTAAGCCCTTCCATCATACATACTCTGAGGAGATCTACTCTAGAGCTACCCAGGTGGTCTCTTGGGAGTGCTGGATCTGTGCAGAGTTTGGATTGGCATCCATCGGTCGGATGGGCCATCCCAACTGTCAAGTGCGTGCCGCGCGCAAAACCGCATGGTCTTCATGAAACTACACGTTGGTTTAACTTGGAGGCTCATGGCCAGTTAGCTACAAACTGGCATTATAGGTAAGATAACCATGGCTATAACCTTCTTTGGGATACTCATAACGCTATCTCATATCTACCCCTGAACCTTCAGGTACAGAATCGCCACATAAAGACCTACTTCGGGGGCTAGGGGCATTGGTACTTGCGGCGTTTCCCATGTGAGGGGCTGTTCTGAATTTGTATCCCCCCTCTTCAAAGAGTTCTTCATGAAAGGACCACAAAAGGACGCTAGCTTAGAACGACCCCGCTTCCCCCCGGACTCACACTTGAAGGCTCATGGTAAAACTCCAGCCTCGGCTACCACATGAACTCCAAGTAGCCATGGCACCCTAAACCCTAAACCCTAAACCCTAAACCCTAAACCCTAAACTGGTCCAGGGCCGTGAACTGACAATAAGACTTGTGTTAATGCAATGACCAGTACGTAACTTCCGGGTTCCGGAAGAACCCCAAGGCTGCAGAAGACTCCATATACTCCCATGAACCCCTAAGACCCTAAACCCTATACCCCGAACCGTAAACCTTAAACCCTAAACCCTAAACCCTACAACTCAATATGGGTCCATCTGATCTCCGATCGCAGCCTTGGCTTCCGAGGGCAGAAGTGCTGGGTAGGTAAGTTGCAGCGCATCCGAGCGATGGGGAGGTCACGCAAGAAACGCCGCCTGGCCTGCAAAGAGGGTTTAGTATCGGACCCTAAACTCTAAACCCTAAACCCTAGCTCTAAACCCTAAACCCTAAACCGTTAGGAGCTTGGAGGGCTCGGGAGGTTTGAGGGCTGTAGGGCCTCTAGGGTTTGGGTTCTGGGTTGCGAGCTGTGGGTGTTCAGGGCCAAGGGCATTTTGTGGGTTTCTTGTCCTTCGTCAGGGGGTCCAAAGCTTCCTTCTTGGCTGACAGAGTCCCGACGCCTTGACTGTAAAAACGCTCAACCCATTCTGTCCTGGACGGCTCATGGGTAGTTCTGAGGCTATGTACAGTAGTTCGAGACATCAGTACAGCTACCCTACGTGTAGCCCTACTTTTAAGAACCTGAGAACCTTCGAGTGATGTTTGCTGTACATGAGGATCGCAGCAGTCCGCGTCTGGCAGCGCTGGCACCTCTGCCGACCGGCAGATTCTTGGCCTGCTTGCCTTCTTGCTTTACCTTAAGCTTCAACATGTCGGGTTACAGGTGGGGTTTTCGGCAAGAAGGGTGTAGAGTGCTTGATCAGCGTCATTGCAGAAATTCAGCCAGTTCAATATTGGTAACGGGCACGGGTTTTTCGGATCATGATGCCATGCCTGCGAGCAGGCAAGCGACGACATCAGCATCGTCTTCGCACGATGTGCCGCCTCTACCGCCACCAGCTGACGCGCAGGACATCTTCATATCAAAACAAAGGTTCGCAACTTAGGATATTAATGTTTGTGGATTTATCATTTGTGTCCGCCTTGGCGGGGGTGGTAGCGGACATCAAAGCTGCGATAAATCCAAGCTGCAGGACGTGATCCCTCTTTTCCCGGACACCGATGACGAGTTCTTGCAGGAGACTAGGGGGTTGTGCGTGCATGGACGCAAGGCCTGCACTAATCTGCTGCGCACGGGTCATTGCCGGCGTGGGGAGAGCTGCTCATACTGCCACCGACACGAACGAGACGAGAGCATGGCCCGCCCGGCACAGTCGCGGCGCGAGCGCGCCGCCCGCCAGGCCGAAGTGGGCGCTGCCGTCCAGCTTCCGCTCATGAGCCTGAGCTCGGAGCGTGTTCACCTGGTCACTGGCTACATAGCTGACATTGCTGCCGACGGGTCATGCAGTATCATTCTGAATAATGGGAATGGCACAGTCCTCATTCCGGCAAGTGTAGCGGTGTCGTTCGCGCTGCCGCCATACCAACCGAGCATGAGGCACCGGTTTGGATCACAAGAAACCTCTGGCTTTGTGCCGATATTTGATGGGCTCCAGACCGGAGTCATCGGTGCAGCGGCTGCATCGAGCCGTGCCAGCGGGGTCAGTCTTCTCTCGGCTGCTGGCGCAGCTCTTGCGCCAGTGCTGCGGAAAGCGCAGCAGGCATGGAAGGGTTTCCAGACGCAATGTGCTCAACTCTGGCAGAAGCTACAATTGACTTTCGAGAGTGACACGTGCTGCGTGTGCCTCCAGCCGCTGGCCCCTGACGATGCACCTGCGGCCATCCTGCTCCCATGCAACCACATGTGCATGCACTGGAGCTGCTTCGAACACTTCCGGTCCAGCTCAGGTGCACCTTTCCAGTGTCCCATCTGTAGAAAGACTGTCACGCGGGCCCTGAACACGGGAGGCAGCCCGTGAGTCGGAGCCAAAGGCTTGCCCAGTTTTGGATCAACCCCTGAGAGAGCCACCTTGCCGAGCTGCATGTGACACATAGGTAAAGGAGCGATGCAGTCCCTTCACCAGCGTCCTGTTAGCTTGAACGCGCAGTGTTGAACCCTAAGCCCTTCCATCATACATACTCTGAAGAGATCTACTCTAGAGCTACCCAGGTGGTCTCTTGGGAGTGCTGGATCTGTGCAGAGTTAGGATCGGCATCCATCGGTCGGATGGGCCATCCCAACTGTCACGCGCGTGCCGCGCGCAAAACCGAATCGTCTTCTTGGATTGGCGCAGTTCCCCTAAACCCTAAACCCTAAACCCTAAACCCTAAACCCCACAGCAAGACACTTCTTAGAGGGTCAGGGGTATGGCCATTCGGGGGTTCAGCAACTTGCCTCCTCAATCCTGAAGCGTGAAGGCAAGAGTCGACTAGCCTAACAAGGCAGACTGAAAGAATTTAACCTAAATATCAGAATCCTTATTCACTCGCCTTTCACAACTCCCTCAGATCATACAAGAGTTTCAAAAAAACGGGACCAGCCGCTGCAGGCCGCTCGCGAGGCTTTCGGAATGGCTGTGGCGGCAGAAGAGGTGTCGGAAGGTGCAGCGCAGCCCTGCGACAAACCCTACCTTTCTCTTCATCTTCTAAACCCTAAACTCTAACCCTAACCCTAAACCCTAAACCCTAAACCCTACCATGCTCTTCGTCTTCTAAATCCAAGATCCCTAAACGTTTTAGCCCCGTAGTAGGGTAGATGTAGTCAGGCTGAGGGGTACAGGCCTCGGAGTGGCAGTAGCAAGGGTGAAGGTGTACCGATACCTCTACTGCGCCATAGGTAACCTTCAATCTTTTTGGGGTAGTACAATAGGGTTTAGGGTTTAGGGTTTAGGGTTTAGGGTTTAGGGTTTAGGGTTTAGGGATAGAATCCCCTTATAGTCCTAAAGGTTAGCCTTGAGTTCCCCTAGGTACTGGACAGCTAGGGAGTTGCGAAGCTTCAACTTCGATGACCTTTGTCTGCAGAGGAATCCGGACCTCCCCAAGCTCCGAGCTTGGTCCCCTAATCCCAAAGCCTCAACCCCAAACACCCAAAGCCTACCCCCAAACCTTAAACCCTGGAACCCCTAACCCAAAAACCCCGAAACCAGAACCCAGACCCCAAAAAACTCTAAACCCCAAAACCTGAACAGCGCGCTCACTCTAAACCCTAAGCCCTAAGCCCTAATACACTAGACCCTAAACCGTACACACGAGGGTCGGCCCTAGGGCGCCCCTGAGAAACTGTCAGTCAAGAGGGCCCTATAGGGCCAAGGTATTTTCTAAGGAATGCTTGGGTTTGGGGCTTTTGGGGGCTTGTTGGGGTTTAGGGCGTTTTGGGGGTATGTCACCCCTTATGCTAACAGCCCTTAATAGCGATTATAAAAGACTGTTAACTAGGTAGGCCCTTGGGACATTTTATATTTTCCCTTATTTGGGTTTAAGAGGATCATATTCAGGAATATTTTTCGGAGGGCTTTAGGGGCCAACCTAGGAGTTAGTATAAGGGGGAACATCCCAAAGTTGAGGTTTCACACTTTTGAGTTGAGGGTTGAGGGCCTAGACTGTTCGGCATGCGGGGTTCAGGCTTCGCAGTGACGGGTTTAGGGTTTAGGGTTTAGGGTTTAGGGTTTAGGGTTTAGGGTTTAGGGTTTAGGTCGGGCTGCGGAGTTGGGAAGGGAATTTAGGCTAGTTGGGCGCCGGAAGGGAGGCTGCTACCGCAGCTAGCCTGCACCCATTGAACCCCATACAGGTGTGTGCCCAGAACCTTCAAGTAGACTTTGTGTTGACATGACCGGAAGTGGCTTGACTTCTTTCGACTGTGAAAATGTGTTGCTTAACATCAGGGAGACTTCCACGTGCAAGGCTTAGGATGTTGTTCTTGGCTTTGGGGGTTCAGGAAAGTTTTGTTCCGGAGCGCTGTCATCCCGTGTAAGCCGCAGGACCAGTGCATTCAACGACTAAGGTTCCGATAACCCTACGAGCCGCTTAGGAGGCATTTCCTAACATAGGGGTCCCCCAATATACCCCCTGATTACGGTACCTCCCTCCCTAAACCCTAAGCCCTTAACCCTTAACCCTTAACCGTAGACCCTAAACCCTAAATCCTATAAACCCTAAACCCGGAATCCCACAAGTGCGATCCGATCGATGTCGATTCACGCTTCGACTCACCTGCAAAAAACGAGCTTTGGATGCTCGGATTTCGTACAGGGCAGGTTCCCCAAAACATGGCCCTCTTTGAGTACCCATTAGAGCACGGCAAGGGACCATAAGTTAGGGAGCCGGTTGTATGCACCCGGCTTGACCAGGACTAGCGCCGTGAGCTAGTAGCTGAAGGAGCACTTTACACTTTTTGGGATGCTTAATCTGAAGGAGCACTTTGCACGTTTTGGGATGCTATAATCCCCTATAGAATTGAAAGTGTACACTTTTGGGGGGGCCTCTCAACTCAGCAACTAAGATATTGTTTCTGGACCTTATTCGCGGGTGTAGCCGGCTCTTCTAGGACCCGGTGGAATAGCAAGGTTCTTCTCAAAACATACACTCGTGATGCTCCTAGACTAAGCTTCTGAACTGCAAGCACCCCAAGTCCTAATTTTAAACCCGAATGAAATCTTTTGGAGTTTAGGGCTTGTAAGGTCTAGGAAACCAAGCACCCAAGGATTCAGGCGTCCAGTCCACTTGGAGGTTCATGGGCACAGTTATGGCTGGTTCTACTTGCTGTTGCTTGGGGAAATTGCAACCGGTCAGTGCCCATGCAACCTTCAAGCATACCCTGAATCTTGGCTATGACACAACCCATGAACGACGCTAAGCCTGTGTAGGCAGAAGAGAACCCTTGCCCACGAAGCTTTTGACGCTGCCTTTCCCGGCTCCAGCTTTGTCGTCGCATTCCACGGCTTTCAGCTCTTAAACCCTGAACCCTAAACGCCTGAACCCCAAACCCCAAACCCTAAACCCACCCCCAAATCAGAGCAAACCCTGGTGAATGTCGTCAACCCATGAGACTTATGGAAGCCTGCTGGGTTCTTCCCCTTTCAGAGGAATTGTGTAGGTCCGACGCTCTTCTGCTGGTTTTTAGGGCCTTTCTAAGGCTGTTTAGGGGGTTTTTGGACAGCCTCAATTAAAATCCATATCATTCATGAAATGCTGCGACAAAGAGAAATCAGAAAGGTCGTGATAAGGCCGAAAAAGGGTAATGTCTTGCCCTGCTCCCTTCCTACCCCTGCATTGTGAAGACATCTCAACAGCTTGTGAGGACAGCGCGTAGCCAAATGAGTTTTAGTACCTATGTATTCCCTTAAAGGGTATATGTAAGGGCCCTCATTCCCTCACTCCCTACTAAAGCCTTGGCATGTCATAAGTTCAGATGTTGGCAGAACATTTGGGAGGTTCGAAGCCTTGGGATTTTCATTAGGGGGTTTGGCAATGGCAAGACTTCGTTTTAGGGGTTTAGGGGTTCAGGGTTCAGGGTTTAGAGTTTAGGCTCAGCTCCAAAGGCCGTGAATTGAGCCCTAAAACTTGTCGCGCCTGCCCAAAGTGGTGTGGTGGGCAGGGGGCCGCTCCTTGAGCTGATGGGGTGCATCTGTCTAACTCTGAAGGCGGGCCTGGCCCACGAAGATTGGTTCCACCAAACTGACAGCTAGCTACTGTCTTGCTTTTCTGTACCTCCCCACACAGAGAAATAGCCATGAGTTGACACATTCTTCGATGATGCGTGAAGGTTTGGCCAGGAGCACTGAGCAAGTTGAACTTGCTTTCGGGTTTCTGAAGGAAACTTGGGATTTTTTTTGGGCGGGGGGGGGGGGGGGGGGGTACTATAATCCCTAAGAAACAGCTAATATCATAATTTTTGCTAGGGTTCCAAGTTCAGTAGAGGTTTAGGGTTTCAGAGTCCCGGGTTCATGGGATTCCGACCTTACCTGGGTTTTGCAGAACCAAACCGGCACTTAAAGCTGCATCCCACGCATCACTCGTCACACTAGGACCTAGACTAGGCCCTTATTCCCTTATGTAAGGGCCTTCGGTTGCCTTTTCATCCCCTTAACACCAACAAGAGCACCCCGGTTATTCGTGGGTTACTCTTGGGTCTATCTAGCACATGTGTAATGTGCACCTTGAACACTTCTGTGTCGCACGTTTCCTTTGAACAAGCACGTAGCTCGAATCTTTTCCACTGAATTTGATCCCCTGCATCTTCAGGCTGGCGAGTCTTCCTCAACAGTTGCACGCAAGCATCCTGTGACGAACTCCAAGGAACGTCTGGGTGTGGGGTCCAGTTTTACAAGTTTGGCGTGGGTTCGTGACTGATAGATCGATGACGATGACAAATGGAGGATGCTTGCTAGGTAGGCTCTTGGGGTATTATACATATTTTTATTATTATCTTTTGTTGGTTTTTTTGCTTATTGGGTTCAAGAGGATCATCCAGGATTTTTTATCAAATGGTTTGAGGGCCATGCTTGCTTGAAATGGGTGATTTTTAGGTTGCTCTCGAGGGTTCAGCCAGTGGGGGGTGATGAAATTTTGCGGGAGAGCCCGCGACCAAATACCAACTTCTTCGCTTCTTCGATCAAGCCGCACCCTAAACCCTAAACCCTAAACCCTAACTCTTCTCAATAACTCTTTTCAACATGCGCCGGTAAGTTTTCGGAGGCGCCTCCTGCCATGCTCTTCCACTCTGTTGCCTCTGCCAGAACCGACTTCTTGCGATCTGGCGGTTTCCGAAATTAGGGTTTAGGGTCTAGGGGTTAGGGGTACAGTGCCTTATTGGGGTCCTTATGATATGGGAATCCCACTATTCGGGGGTCGATATTGGGCCCCTGTTTTCGTAAACCCCCGTATCTTGATGTTTCAGATGCGCTCATGGCATAGGCGGCATAGACTAAGACAGGCATCCAGGATATGCCAGCCCTTGGCAAAAGAGTTCTGCTGGCACGCGCTGCCGTCAGCAACTGGAAAAGTCAGTTTAGGCTTTAGGGTTTAGTAGCACATGACCATATCACATCTGATCATGACTTGTGAGAAGTTGCCTTGGAATATTGAGGTCGGGGTCCGGGTGCGGCGGGTGGGCAGCGGCCACACGTGTGAAGGCCAGAGCCTGTCGCCAGAGGCAAGGGCGAACTCCTCACGAAAACGACTCACTGAAAATTGTCACGGGAAGCTCGAAGCGACGCAAAGGACGTTGCCTGGTAGGTGCTGTTCTATTTCCGTGCTTGAAACACGTATGCCAATCTTCTGTCGACACACTGCCCGGTAGAAGCCCGAAATGGTTTTGGCTCTGGAGCACAACTTTATCTGCAAACAACCTCATACACATCCTTTGTACACTGTTTAAAGTGGGCTGTTTCCAGACCCAGAGGACGGCATCCTTGATGGCACTGGGGCCCGCTTGGGCATGTTTTCCGCGCGTTTTGATGGGGGCGAGGCTGGGTGGCTTTCGGCAAGGCTTGTGTATTATGCAGGCATTGCCGAAAGTAGGGGTACCCCTTATCTACCCCAAAATACTATATAATCCTTGTAAAGGAGCCCCCAAAAACGGTACCCCGTTGGTACAGGCTGAGCTCAAAGAGAAATCAGGTCGCAAAGCGGTTTAGGGTTCAGGGTTTAGGGTTCAGGGTGTGTTGATGTGCCACATTCTTTAAGAAAGGGGCAGGTTGAAGTACGCTCGATCAGGGGTTGCTTGTACGGGGGAGGTTGAAGCGATTGCCCCGAAAACAAGTCATCCTAGGTTTAGCAATCCTCAAGCGAACTTTTTGCGAAGGGCATATTGCCACAGAAGGCAATGTTTGGTTATAGCCTAGACCCTAAACCCTAAACTTTTTGTCCCACGGCAAGGTGGAGCTACTCTTCCGCGAGGTCCACCGGATCCTTCAAGCTCACCATTACAACGCGCTCATGGTCCACGCCGATCACGGGGAAGACTTCGGAACACAGACCCTAGATTTCTTGGGTCGGTTAAAGAGTGACAAGGGCATTCTCTTAGCTGTGTGTACGAGCGACTACGCTGAAGTCACCGCGTCGGGGTATTCAACGTTTCGCGAACTCAAATTTGCGCATGATTGCGCGCTGGATATCATCCCCCTACGTGTGTCAGACATCTATCCACCTGAGCCCCCGCACGGCCCCACGCACAAGTATGACAAGTCTGGATCAGGAGTTGCACTAGTCACATTGGCTTTGTCTCCGAGTAAGCGTTTTCTCGACTGTCGCGGCAAAAGTGCTGGCGACATTGCCGCTTTGATTGCGCGGCGGCTGCTGGGCGACCAACATCAGGCAGGGTGGGGCTGA